CCCCTCCCCTCTTCCCCTCCCTAATTTTTTTTCTGTTTTTTGCAGGTTGGAGCCGTTGGGAATGAAGTCAATGAACAAAAGATAAAAAAATAAAAAAAGGAACCGGGTACCAGAACCGGACCGGTACCGGCGGTACCCGTACCAAAAAATAGGTACCGGAACCGGTACCGAAATGGGCGGTACCGGTACCGGTTCCCGGAACCGGTGACACGGCGGCGACGGCGGCAACGGTGGCGGGTACCGACGTTATCGTTGCCGGTCACGGTACCGTACCGGTACCGTGTCCACCCCTAGAGGTGACAGTGTGGCGGCGGAGGGCTGCAACAGTGTTAGAATACGACAGTATGACAAGGTCAGTATTAAAAAAGAGTAAATTTGTGTTGGGACCGTGCATGCCCTTACTTTAACCCCGCATTAGTATAATATTATCCGCTCTAGACCAAGCACTCACGGATTTGTTTTTGGGCAGTTCCCAAAAGGCCTCATGCTAATGGGGTTGGATCAACCTATATATTTTGGTTCATTTACTTCTAAACTTCCGATGTGAGACTTGGAAGAATCCCAACAAACCTCTCTCTCAACCAAGGACCAAACAACTTCCAACTCCCCTCTAGCGGTAATACATTTTTTTCTTATCTACTAACCATCTTGCACTGCCGCTACACTCTTTGTGGGACACGCTGCTCGACCTTCTGTCCGGAAGACTTTCGATGCAAGGCTCGAACCGCAGATCTATTCAACTCATTTCGTTTGTTCGTTGAACGTGTTGGGCTACACCATTTGGTCTGCCAAATCATCTTGTACCTCCGTGGCACCGTCACACCGATATTTCTTCACACTGCACAATCCGCCCTGCTCACACCCGCAAGAACATGGGCTCCGATACCACATGTTGAGACCGCGTGTGCCCTTACTCCAACCCCGTATTAATATGATACTGTCCGCTCTGGGCGAAGCCCTCACGGATTTGTTTTTGGGCACCTCTCAAAAGGGCTCATACTAATGGGGTTAGGACAACCTATATATTTTGGTTCATTTACTCCTAAACATCCAGTGTGGGACTTGGAGGAATCCCAACAATTTGTCACTTTATTAAAAAATTTACTCCTATTTATGTCTTTAAAACATAAGACTATTATTTATATCTTTTTTTATCTCTTTTACTCTTATATTTGTCATTGTCCCTAAAATATTAGAAGACATCACTCCGTATATTTTTATTTTATTTTTTTTACCAATTTCGTGTTTGTTTCTGTTGATTACTTCATTACTTTCCTTAATTTGTATGGTTTTCGTTGTTTCTCATTTTTGTTATTTTTATATCTATTTTTTATTTTTTCTAAGGTAAGACTAATCTTTAAAAAAGAAAAAATTGATGGAGGAATAAAGCAAAATTTCAAAAAAAAAAAAACAAAAATTCAGCAAAGATAACTCCAACTTTTATTTTGTTGCACGAAACAGGCTACTTCGTTAACCCGCTGTTAGCAGTTTAACGGTAACTCATGAAAATTAACAAATTTCAATAAAATTGAAATTATTATGCATCACATTGAAATGTGAGATTATTTTTGAAAGACCGAGTAAACATGATATTATTCTCGATAATATTCCCTTCTTAAAGTGGAATAGTACCATTTTACTCTTAAAACAACTTTTTTTTCTTTCCAATAAATTATTTTTGAATCCTATCACATCAAAATTCTTTTTTATCACCAATTATCACATTAAAATCCGAATTCATTAAAATTTGTAGTATTGTTGAATCTCTATTTTTATATAAAATTGTTTGAGAGTTGAACTCACAAAACTTTGACATTTGACTTGATAACGTGGCATTATTTTCACAATTCAAATCAATGGCGGAGTTCTCGATTTGTTGCATGAAAGAAAAAGTTCAACTACCTCTTCTAAGGAAACTCCCAGATTTACTCTATAATTTATTTTATGAAATATATGTGAGGAGTTCTCATATTATGAAAAATATAAGAAAACACAACAGTATGTTTTTGTTCACTATATAGATGGAAAAATAGATACATCAGCAACAACGGTCGAGTAGCTCTGCAGTTATGCTTAGCGGTCACAACCATCATTCCAAGGATCTTTATTACCACAAGAGGGTGAATACCAAGATTTACTTAGTCCTTTAGTATAATAAAGAAGACTCGGATGCATAAAAATTCGACATTTGGCATGTCTATGTGGCAAAATTTAAACATGTCAACATGCCACGTAATATCCGAGTAAACCAGCGGAAATACTTTAATACTCCGTATAATATTTCAGACTCGGATCACCAGAGCTTGACATGTGGAATTCTTACGTGGATTTTTTTGACACCTCAATGATGACTGTATGCATTAATTGAATCTAAAAGCATCCATAAAAAAGTCTTCATATATAGTAACTTTTGAATAATCATTGACCATTTTAAACAAATAATTTATGGTAACTTTTAAAACTTGATATTTATATATTTGATAAGTTTGCACTAATATTTGATAATACAAAAAATTACTTTCTGTAAATTTGTTTAACTCTTCATTTATTTGACGATTGTAATCTCTTTTTACTTCTTTAATATGCTTACTATTATTGTCACATATCATATTCAAAATTATTTGTGTGACCCATATCCATTCTAATTTTTTTTATTTTTTAAGATTAAATAACATGAAAAAAGAAACAAATACGGAGTCTATGACATGTTTTAAATATTTATTGATCATTTTTAGCAAATAGTTTATTATAATCTTTAGAAGTTGATATTTAAATATATACTCCCTCCGTCCCATTTTATAACGCGTGTTTCGGTTTACGATGTTTGACTGGAGTTATTTTCAAATCATTTTATATGATAAATGGTATAAAGTTAAAAAATAAAAATTACATATCAAAATACTACATTAAAAGGTCTACAAAACTTGTAGTGACAACAATATTTTATTTTATCAAATTGCTAACGAAAATAGAGAAAGAAAGTGAATGAAGTTTGACCCTGTGAATAGTGAACATGCATTATAATTTGGGAAGGAGGGAGTATTTGATTAGTTTAAATCAGTATATTACAAAAATTTTAGAGTAAAAATCTATAATTGGTCCTTTATAACAGGGGGGTTTCCATATTTAATCCTCTATTATCAAATATTACCCTCGTAGTCCTTTTTTTAAAGGTGTCTTTCCACAAATGGTCCTTTTTTTGATCTTCCGCCATGTGGGTGTTAATTTAAAGGCTAAAAGTATAATTTGACATCAACATTATGTGTAGTGACGTGTTCTGATATTGGTTAAGCGGTTAACACAAAAATAATGACTATGATTGTAGGCTAGGATTCCGACGGAAGACCACATTTGTAGACTATGGTTGTAGTATAAAGCGAATGTAATTCACAAACGACGCAAACGGAACAACCTTTGGAATTGTGTATGACAAAAAAGATATATTATCATTGTGAAATTATACTTTTAGCCCTCAAATTAACACCAACATGGTAGAAGATCTAAAAAAGGACTATTTGTGCAAAGATACCCGTAAAAGAAGGACCATTGTGGTAATATTTTATAATAGAGGACTAAATAGGGACCCCCCTGTTATAAAGGACCAATTATGGAATTTACTCAAAATGTTATGGACTTTTAAATTCAAAGAAAATCAATTAAATGAATGAAAATAAAAATATAATTTTTCAATAAAAATTAAGTGAATTATTCATTATAAAAGAAACTAGCACTGATATAAAAGTTTTTAAGTAAAATATGAAATGTTTTTACAATTATTAATTTATTATTTTTTATGAGAATTTATTTAGCAAAAATATGGTTGTAATTCAACAAAAAATGTGTACATAATTGAATTGAATTTAGCTTAAAATGACTAATCTAATATAACTAAAAAGAAGTTAAAAAAAGAAATTGAGTAAATTTTCAAAATAGTTCTTTTTACTAAGGTATTTTTCCAAATCAGTTCTCAATAAGTAATAATTACGTACGTAGTCTTTTCTAATTTAATATTTTCCAAAATGGTCTTTGCTTATCACATGAGTGATTTTAACTCTAAATGGAGTTGTATAGATTTGGATACATTTTATTTTTCTATATCAATATTTGTTTAGATTCTTCAAGTTCATGGATTATTCTAACATCAATAATCGATTATAAATAGACTGAAATAATTAAAATTATAAAACACAAAAAAATATCATGACTTCAAACAAAAGAGTTTAAAAACACGTGGATAAAATATATTCAATTAGTAAAAAAATAAAATAAATTTATTTTCAAAAATAAAAATCTATATTCACATTTGATATGTTTCACAAAAAAACTTATTTTCTTAAAAATTAAAAAGTCACATTTATTTTACAACTGAACTTTACTGGAATTGTCAAACGATTTTATTTTAAAAAAATGAAATTACAACCCACTAAGGAACATTCCCATAATTTAAATATTTGTTATATGACAACCCACTAAGTAACATTCCCATAAGGCGGAAGGAACCATAGTCACCTAAGTTGCGGTACATTCCGATACAGGTACGTGGTTCGGGTTCAAAATTCGCTAGATGAAGCTTCGCTAGGTGGGGGTAGGTTCATTTCGGAACGAAGCGATAGAGTTACGGTATATATATTTGTAATATCTACTATCGCTATATTTTACACTAATGGCCCAATATGTGTAAAAAATACACATAGTACAAATATATATACCCTAACAGATACCGTGTATATTTGGAGTACACAGTTTAATTGGTTTTAATTTGCCACATGAAGCTTACAAATAATGTATATTTGTTTTGATAGATGTTGTTTCTATATCAATATTTGTTATATGACAACCCACTAAGTAATAAATTTGATAATTTAAATATTTCTGCATGTTCTGCAATACCTACTAAATTTTCCTGCTCGAATTCTTAAATCTAAAAATGTTATTCAAAAGCTGCATGCATTTCTCCATTTGTTAATATTCCTAAAACTTTTGTTTCAAAATTTTGACCAATTTGTAGTATTTTGTTTTAGTATTAAATTGTGATAACTAGCAAATTTAGAACACCTTTTACTTTGAACTTGCAAAATGTAGCCACAACTGATGCCAAGTGAAGGTTGTGTAAACACAAGAGAAGGGAGAAACGGATGTTAGCCTTATCTTCCCTTTGTAGTCAAAAGAAGTAAGCCAATAAAGCGGATGACTTATCATTACATTCTATCTTTTTAGATGTTAAACTAATTTTGAATGGTTGGATTAATAATAATAATAATAATTTCTAGCTATTTTTGTTGTTGGTAATAAAAAAGAGTAAGCCAAAAAGAGGATGAGATATCATTATGTTTCTACCCGTAGACCAATCTGGATTCTGTGGCCTACTGGCCTTCTAATTGCATCAGTTGAACAAAATATTAGTATGGCTACCATTTTTTAGCAGCCAACAATTTTCCAGGTTCTTTCATATTTGTCTGATGTTAGTAGTCATGTCAGGCTGGGGTGCTAGGCATGGTAACAAATTTCCAGAGGTGAAAACTCAATTGATTTGCGCGTTGAGCTGAAAATTTATCTTGAACTAATTAGTTAAGCACATGGTCTCTATATTATATTTTTCATTGGTTTAAAGACAACAATGACCTTTAAGAAATGTTATACATACAACTCTTCATATGCCCCACACATGTTAGCTTCATAAAAAGTCACCTTCATTACATAGATACAAGACTAATCTTCTTTTCATAATTCTATTACCTATGATAACACATTATTGCTTTTTGATCTATTGTTATTTTTTATGTTTTGCAAGTTTTTTTAAACCTACCATCTTGGGTATGGGTTTCTATATGTCATGACAGGTTGCAGATTCAACAATTAAGGGTTCACTTGAGTTTGCTATGTGTCATTGAGGGTAAGAAATTATTAGCTTAACTTTTGTTTGATCTGTCTAAATCTTCATAGTCATTTGTTGTTGCCTACACCTATCCCACTGGTTGCACACCCAAAGACATTCATAACTTTATAGGAGTATGTTTGGAGAAAGGGTTTATGTTTTTTGTTAATATTTCTACTTTGCATGACATTAAAGCAAATCTCATTTATGATTTTTTAAAAACACTAACATTTCATGGCTTTTCCCTTCTCACCTATAAATAAATTTATAAAACTACATTATGAACGCTGGTTATAAAAGTTGCCTGATTACAATTTCACAAGATTTAATAATAGCCATGTTTGAAATTCAATTCGGATCTCTTTTGTTTGACATATGAAATTGAATAACAAAATAGAGAAGTGCATCATTTTTTTGTTCTTTCGATTTAGTGCACAAAGATTAACTACTTAAACCAACTCAACTACATTATAACATCTATTGTACTGTTACTTTTGTTTAATCCTGGCTTTTGTTTGTTTTTTGCAAATTAAAGGATTTTATTTATTTCTCTAACAAAGATACCAAGAGTTTACATCAGCTGCCAAAGAGGCTTTAATCCATGTAAGCAAACCCATCAAAGAAATAAAATCTGAAGTTCAAGTTCTTTCTTCCTCTTTACGTTTTTTAGCAAGCAGATGTGTAGGCTGATTCCTACTCTTGGTATGCGATCCACTGAGGCTTTCAAGGTCTTCAACAAAAGCGCTAGCATGAGCACAACACAAGGAGATGTGGTTCAGCCCAAGTGTTTTATAAGCTCTTGAGTTGAACTAACTAATCGATTGGATTCAATCTTTTAATGTGGTTCAGCCCAAGTGTCTTATTGCCCCAATCAAGTTATCCATACCCCATCCTAAATTCTATCATGATATCAGAGCAGGTTTTGGCCCACCTCGTTTGTCAAGGTGTCCGTCTAGACGTTCATTCCTAGCGGCCCGTTTTGCAAGTGGTCAACCGGATAGATTCAAAATGGCTCGGGTGTCCACTTGAGGGGGAGTGTTAAAGAACATCCCACATCGGAAAAGTGTGAGAAAATTAATCGGTATTTAAGCTCTTGAGTTGAACTTGGCAGGCGGGAGACCGACGGGAATAAGCTCAAAACATCACATGATAAGACCATTTCTAGGAAGTTATATTCATATATAAATTTCAAAAGGAGGAACAGAACTATCAAAATAGAAAAGAGGACACTATTTTCTTTTTTAATATCTCTTTTTTTTTCAATATTAGCCCAACAGTATAGCAGTCAAAAATCACAGTCACACTAATAGTCACATAGTCTCTCTATTTAAAAAAGAGTTTTATTAATTAAGTGTACACTATAACACTAAGTCTTTGCCTTCATATGTCTACTGTTATCAGTCTCAGTGTATTAACTGTGTTTGCCTTGGTGTTGGCATTTCCATATGGGCTCTCATTTTCCAGGAAAAGAAGACAACCTCAGCATTGACCCAACACCGTCTTCTATGAAACAACACACGATCATTACCCCTCCTTTTTAGTTTTTGAAATCTATTTCGCACCTGCTGAAGCTGGTTTGCCTCTGTTTTGCTCACTATTAGGATTATAGAGTTCGTAATAATAATCCTGACTAGAATGTTGAATACATCTTCAATAATAAGATTGTCTATTCAAACACACACACACACTTTGTTAAGGACTATAAAAAAGAGTTTTATTATGAACTATAAAAAAGAGTTTTTAAAAATAGAGTTTTATTAAGAAACTTTGTTTTCGAAAGTGATGTGGTGGTAAGGCTTTTTATAATTCCAAATTCATTACTTTGCAGTGATATTGTTGGTATCCACTGAACTGCAAATAAATAAAAAATGCAATACTAAGCTAAATTTGAAATGAAAATTAGCAAAATTATTTACAAAGAAAAAGGTTACCAGTATAGGAAGCTAAGCAAAAATGGTCATTTAGAGTACTAATGTTTCTCTTGCTTTTCTTGAGCTATTGTACATCTAACATTTACTAATGTTTTTGTTTTTTTGTAACTTCTCTGCCCATGTGCAACAATCTGCAAGGTTCAACAAGAAGCTTGGATACTTCTACATCCAAAGCTATATCAATGATAAGGCTAAGAGTCTGATCAAAATTAACAACAAATCCAAAGGGGATGCATAAGCAAAACAGATTAGGCTGCTGGATTAAGATGTCAAAGCCAAAATAGTCTATTGCATGTGTTTAAAAAGACAAAATAACAACATCTTCTTGTTCCTATCAGTATTCTACTAAATTTAAAATCCAAAAGCTACTATCACAAATTAAAAGTCCTTACCATTAGTTTGATCAAACCCAAGACCCCAATAACAGTCCTTACTATTTCATATATATGCTATATGTGATGAGAAGTAAATGTCACAGAATGAAAAGTGATGACCCAATTAACAAATCTGCCATAAAGGAGGCCAAAGGAAATAAAAGCAAAATACCTCACATGACAAAAAAATTGATGTCACAAAGCAATTTGAAAGTAGATACCATTGTAAACTACCAACTTGAAGGGAAGAGAAAGCAAAATACCTCATATGAAAAATCTACATGACCTAAAATATTAATAAGATTCAAGAAGTATGAATAACCACCATACATGAAACACATTTTAGAAGCCTGGAAGAAGAATAAAAAATCATTAATCAGTTTATCTCAATTGTGGAAGATTGATTTCAGGCATATAGAAGGGAAGTATCTTTTTTATGGTTTGGATTCATTTTTGTCAGTAGATATTTATGCTTTCTTTGTTTTGACATTGTTTACTTTTGTTCTGACATTCAATCTCATGTTTTTTCCCTATGATAAACTTTATTTCATAATTCATAGAATTGATAAGAAAATTTTGATAGACTTCATTTCATAATTCATAGAGTTGATAAGAAATTCCAACTATAATGTCTGTGTAATTTATATACAAAAAAAGAGGAGTAAAAAA